GTGGAGGGAAAAAAACCCGCCGAACAACTGGAGATGCTGGGGATTGAACCCAGGGCCTCTTACATGCGAAGCAAGCGCTCTCCCACTGAGCTACATCCCCTCCGTGCGAGTGCTCCGGAGGACACATTTGTCTGGCACTGCAGGGGTTGTGTTTATATGCCAAAAGTAATGTCAGCTGAATGAGAGGCACTACAGCCACCCCTCGGGATGCTGTCTGCCCGGAGCTGGGGGATGCAAGGGCTCATCATTCTACGCCTGGTCAGCAAAGAGCAGCAGGGGTGCGGTCCCAAAGGAGGAGCCGTCCTAACAAAGGGTTGTCTCCAAAGCCAAGGCTTTATTCAGAGGAGGGGTTTCTCCCAAAAAGGAGGGGTTGTATCCAAAGGAGGGTTTATCCAGGAGATGAATCAGGATCTCTTACAAAAGTGCAAGACACCTATCCCTACACCAACAATCTGGAGTGCTTGCACCCCTTTTGCCTCCCCAGCCCTACAGTTTGTATTTTGGGGTACAGCTGAGGCTGTGCTTTTTCCCAGCACACCCACAGCCTTAATGAGGAATTTCCAGGCCAGCCATGCCAGGAGGCAACCCCAGGGCCTTTTGAGGGGACTCTGGCAGCCCTGCATCCAGCAGGGAGCAGTCCAGGGAGGCAAAAGAACATGGAGATGCTGGGGGTTGATCCCAGGGCCTCTTGCATGCAAAGCAAGCACTCTTCCGTTGAGCTACATCCCCTACTCCAGTGGCCTGTTGCTGCCAACCCTTGAAGCTCCATACTGCCTGCAGGAATTTGCCAAGCCAGGATGTGGGACCAGCCCTGTTCCAATCCATGTCACAGCCCCACAGATCCCAGTGTGGCTTTGGTGTGGCTCCTGAGGGACAAGAGCTGTGAGTGCTGGGTAACTGCCTGCTCTTTTTTCCCAACTCCCATGGGGGTCAGCAGAGTGCTGGTGCTCCTGTGGGTGCCATGGGGGCACAGTTCCAGGGCAGAACATGGGGAATTTTCCAGGACACAGTTCCTGAGGGTTGAGTGGGCTGTAGCTGTGCTGGGGTGGGAAGATGCGCTGCTGCAGGCACCCCAGCTGCTGGGGACCTCCCTTGACACAGAAGTGCAAAGAGATGATTTGCAGACAGCAGTGAGCCTCCAATACCGATTGTAACACATGGCTGTGCCAGAGCAGAGATTCCCCCCCATCCAAACCCCCTGAGCCAACTGAGGGGAACTGGGAGGCTGGTTCAGCCACAGCCTTTCGTATCACAGAGGGGTGGAGGGGAGCAGGAAAGAGAAACTCTGCACCCCATGATTTCCAGGTCTCATAACCCTCCACACAGCTCTTTCAATCCCACATAACCAGTGCTGACAGGAGCTACCCCACACAGCAATAACTATATCACACTTCTCCTCTTTGGGAGGTATGCAGACACCTCTCAGCAAACGTGAATTAACAGCCCTGGAATGCTTTATCAAACAATTCTTGAGTTTAAAACTTAGATTCCCTCCCAGTACCCTCCAAACCGTTGGGATCTGGACTCCACTTTCATTGTGCTCATCCCAGTCTTTCCCTGAGGGCTGCTCTCCACAGCAAAAACTCAAGAGTAGAGGAGACTGTAGGACAGCCAGGAGCGATGTCTGCTGGTGATGTGAGCTCAGGGTGACACAGTGCTGGTGGAGCCAACAGGGCTGCAGGACGCAAGTCTTGTGAGCCCTATTACCACAGGGAGCACCAGGAGGGCCATACCAGCATGCATGTGCCTTTTAATTTGTCTGCTTCTTCCCCCTTGACTCACACATGTGGGCAGGCTATTATTTTCCTATTTTATGGGATCTCCAGCCCTGGGGAAGAACTGGAGCCCTTGGCAGAGCCACTGCCTGTCTGGCTCCCCAGGTGTGGCAAGGAAGGGCACCCTGAGTCCCTGCCCTATGCCTGATCCATGGGTGTCTGGGGTGGGATATCCTCAGTGGTGCCCTCTCCTCCCTCTTATCCTGGCCATGCAGCCACTTTCTCTCTGCTTCCTCAATTTGGAAGGCTGCTCCAAGCTCCATCCAGCCTGGCCTTGGACACATCCAGGGACTGGCCACGTAAATCCCCTCTCTCTGGTTGCCATGCCTGCAGGCTCCCAGCTCCAGGTGCTCTGTCTCTCACCTGGCTGGCTCCAGGTGTGTCCCAAAGTGCTCTGGCCAGCAGTGCTTGCCTCAGTGAGGAGGATGAAGGATGCTGTCTGTTGATGCAGCTCACCCTCCCAGCACTGCCCTCAGCCCAGTGTCGGTCTGGATTACACCTTTGGCAACCCTGTAAAGGCACAGGTGGGGGGGATCTGTGTTTTCATCCTCTCCCACTGCTGTAACACACCGCAATTTTTGTCTTCTCACCTGGATGTGCAGAGAAGCTGCAGATTGACGTGCTGTGTTGACCCCCCAGTAATCCAGCCTTACCACCAATCCCAGCCCTACCACCAGCACCATGCTGCCTGGGGCTTCCATAGTATCATAGTATCATAGTATCCCTTCCTGAATTGGAAGGGACCCATAAGGAGCATCAAAGTCCAACTCCTGGCTCTGTACAGACATCCCAACCATCCCACCCTGTGCCTGAAAGGATTGTCCAAATGCTCCTGGAATTCTGGCAGCCTTGGGGCTGTGCCCATTCCCTGGGGAGCCTGAGCAGGGCCCCACCACCCTCTGGGGAAAGAATCTTTTCCTAATCCAGCCTAACTCTCCACAGGCAAAGTCTCCATTACGGATGGTCCCACTTACTTGCTGTTCACAGCAATCTCCCCTTTTCCACAACAGCACTCTGTGCTTTTTCCTCCTCAAACCATGACTTCCCCTCTCCTTCCCACCTCCTCCACCCCCAGGGTGGGAAGGTACCTGTCCTTCAGGAGCCTGAGGATACTGAATGACCACAGGGAGCAGGTTTACTCCAAGATCATGAAGCAGCTGAGGGAAGATGGGAAGTGGGCAGGAGACATAAACCGCAACAGGCATGGCCAGAGGGTGGCACCTGAGCCATACTCCAGGCTCTTCTCAAAAATGCTTCTTCTGCTTTTGAATGCTATGGGTAAGCAATGCTGGGACCCAAATCCCAGGACCCAGCTATTTCCCTCCATGTGCCTCCACCTGCTGAGCAATATTTTTCATCCCCGACTTGTTATGTAGCTCTGTGTTTCTCACTGGAGCCCTTGTCTGCGCTGCCTCTACAGAAACCTGTATTTAGGGCCTGATCAGCAGGTCTGGGGGGTCCTGCCTGGGGCAAGGGCTGGCTTGGGGGGGAAATATGGTGAATTCAGGACTGCTCTTGAGCTGGAAGCCAAGGAGGCACAGCTCCCAGCTGGAGTCATGGCCCCATGGGAGGCAGAGTCCCCCTGGCCCTCAGGATAGGCAGTGCTGAAAGGCACCGAGGTCCTCATTTCCCCAAGTGTCTGCACTAAGACACCACAATTTTCAAGTCAAATCAAGAATCTGTGTATATTTTTGTAGACATTGGATTTTCAGAGAAAAAAAAAAAATTAAAATCTGTATACCCTCACCAGTGGAGTCATTCAGTGCAAAGTGACATAAAAATGTCATTATTCTGTTCACCTGCTCCCTCCTGGACTGTTCAGTGCAGCAGGCTTGAGGAAGGCAGCTGCACAAGGCCCAGAGACCCACAGCTTCCCAACAAAACTTCTGCTGGAATTTCAAAGCTTTTTGTAATTTTTAAATTCAAAATTTTGCATCCTATCTCTGCAGACAATTGCCATAGCTGGAATAAAAATATCTGAGCAGTCCTTGGAAGAAGGACACCTCCCTTCTCCTGGTGCTGGCTGCTGAGAAATTGCCATGTAAATTGTCTCCAAATTAGGAGCACCTCAGCAAAGGTCTCCTGGGCAATAAAACCAGTTGAGCTTGGTCAAAGGCTTTTGATGACCAATAAGCTTTCAAGTTCAGCATAATCCCTCATTATAAAGGCTCACAAACTTTATGCAAATATTCCTATTCCTCCTTCCATCAGCTGAAAAAGTTCTGCCTGATGATCCATGGTATCTTAAAAAGAGGCTTAACTCAATTCATTACATCTTCCAGAGACATCAGTGTCCCCTATCCATGAAGCAATTATTGTCTCTTCTTTTTCACTCTTCACTGTCACCCATTAAGCACTGTGTGAGCTTGGCATAGAATGCCCATCCAAAGAAGCCCATTTTCCAAAAATCCCACTTCTACTTTTTCTTCCCTGATTCCATGCCCACCTCCTTAGCTCAGCCCCCCCAAAAGATCACTGCAAAATGCAGGGTAAATGCCATTTTGAAATGTCAAACCTTCACATTCCCAGCTCCTCGAGGGAACAGGCTATAAAGTGTTCTCCTGCAGGAATTCCTCCCCGAGCAGGTGTTTGCCATGGGGCAGGAGGAGAAGTTTCCAGGATAAGAAAATTGCCTTGGGACTGGTCCCGGCAAACCACACACGTCTGTCAGCACAGGGAAGAGCTGGGCAGCAGAAACCCCCATTTAATGTAAAAACCAAACCTCCCCAGCAGCAACAAGCTGCCTCCAGAGGATGTCACCCCTCCAGGCTCCTGAACAAGGAACAACAGAAGACTCAGGCTATGATGTAGCAAGTCTTTAATGAGAAGGAGTGTGAACCAGTTCAGAGTACAAGTGCGTTTCCAGTGCTCAATAAAGAAATGGATAAACCCCACTTTGGGACAAGCTGATCCCTACAAGGTGTCCCCTCACCCCACTACCCCATGATTATCATCTGCCATCTACAGCCTGCTAGAAGCATTTATTGCCCAGCCAGCAGCAAATGCCATGCAGAACGTGGAAATACAAAGACTGAGTGAGACAAAGGTGTACAGAGGCATGGTCTGGAGTGATGAGCTCACACGGCTACCGTCCTCCTGGGGAAACTGCTGGGAAACCCAGGGATATCTCTTTAGTCCTCTCCCCCAGTCTTGGTTGTGTGCTTCACTTGCCTTTCCTGACCACACCGCTGGCATGGGCAGGAGGAGGAGCCCACTGGGGACACCCTACAGCCTGGTGCCCAGGCACAGCAGTCCTGCCTTGCCCAGACCCCGGGAGCCCACAGGGATGCCGCAGCAGCGCAGGTAGCTCCCGACCGCCGCCGAGGCCGTGGAGCCTACCATGGTGTTCTGTGGGAAGGAGCTGAGGATGGGCCCGGGCAGCGTGACCACAACCGTGGGCGGCTGGATGAAGGCAGTGGAGTCCCCGCAGCGGCGGAAGCAGGGCTGGTTGCAGCTGGTGGCCAGGGGCCGGGGACTGAAGGAGGAGGGCAGGCACAGGTCGTAGCAGGACATGGCTCAGCAAGGATGTGCACCTGAAAGCCAGAGCTGGGATGTCAAAGCAAGGCAGAGGCTGGTCTGTCCTTGCTGAGCCCTCACACAATACCTCCCATAATAAGAGGCATGGGAGAGCAAGCTAGAGGGTGAGTTTGGATGGTTTAGAAACACCAAAAGAAAGATTCCCCCCACCTTGCCCCATAAACCGCCCAGGAGAATGAGGGAAGTTTTGTTTGAGCTGCAGGTTGGTCTGGGAAAATTGTAGGCATCAGGTGCTGGGACCAGAGAGCAGACCCACTCCTGCTCCGAGCTGACGGGGAGCCTTTGGCAAGCAAGGTGGTCACAAGACACATGTGGTTGAAGCAAAACCCACTTAAATCAACACAAAGTGAACTGAGCCATCCCATCCCAAAATATAAGGGACATTTGATGCCCGTCCATAAACAAGGACACATTGATCCCTGCAACCCAGGCATGTCCTGTTCCAATTTGTTCCTCTCCTTCAGCAAGGAAAATCATGCAGGATGCAACTGATTATGTGGTTGCAGACCCTGTAAGCCCTGCATCCTGCAACCCCTTGCACTCTTCATTTTAGGGCAGAAATACACCCTTCCCTGATGTCCTGTGCAGCTGGAAGGGAAGAGGGAGGGGTGGGGAAGGGAATGGAGCCTGTCTCGACTTACCCAGACGGAGGTGGCAGTGGTGGCAGCTGGAGCAGGTGGTGGGGCCAAGCACTGTCCCCACAGTTTTATAGGGTGGCCCAGCCCCCCAGGGGAGTGGGTGTGTGCCTTCAGCCTGAAACTCCCCAACAACCAGCAGTTTTCTCCTGGAAAGCTCCCCCAACTGATTAAACAGTTCCCTCTTTCATCTCTCATGTTTTGCTTCCATGTAATACTGAGTAAGATTGAAATGATTCGGGCTACAGGCATTAATTACTTTCCTTCCTAAGGCCAAGGGACATTTTAGGTCTTTATACCACTAGGCAGGAGAGTGTTTCAGCAGAATTTAGAGCAGACGAATCCCCACCTTCCTCTCAGCACAACCAATTCAGCTCCCTGATGCACCTGAGGTGAGACCAAGGATGTAAACTGAATGTAAGGAACATCCATTTGGAGTGAAATCCTGTGCTAGGAATCTCATGGATGGCAGGAAAGCTGAGGGGCTGCAGACAATGTGGACACAGGGACCTGACCTAGCCCAGCATGAGCAGTTTGTTATGGGTTTGGATGCACTTAGAGGATTTTCCTTCTTCTTCTTCTTTTTTTTTTTTTTTTTTTTTTTTTTTTTTTTTTTTTTTTTTTTTTTTTTTTTTTTTTTTTTTTTTTTTTTTTTTTTTTGTTTTGTTTTGTTTTGTTTTGTTTTGGTTTTTTTGTTATTATTCTTCTTCACACCTGGGGTATAAGTCGTGCTTGGAAGGAACATCAGATTTTAAAAGCAAAGTGATCATGGGCTCTGAAGTCCAGCCCCACAGATGACACATACCTAAACTGGCTGATTTTGTGCAGGGACATGACTTCCAAAAGCCCTTCCATCCCTCTCTTTGGACAGGGTGGTAGCAGTGAGCCAGAAGGTCACAGGTGTCCTTCCTTGTGATGGGGTGACATAGTCAAGAGAGGGTCAATTACAGTAATTACAGGCTCTGGTGTGACACCAGGGATCTGGGATCACTCTGCTGGAAGCCTGTTAGCTACTAAACATCCCAAACATCTCAACCTGCACTTAAACGTGAATCACCCTCACAGTGGGGAGACAGAGTTGCTGACGTGGTCCCAAGCAGGACCATGATGAGCCATCATGAGCTCTAGAGGCAAGGAAAGTCTGAAACAGGCTTTTCATTTCACACCAGCAGAGCCCAACTCACAGCACAAACACCTGCCCTGGAATAAACCCTGACAGCACTGGGCGCCATGTACTATGTGTGTGTGAGGCTGTGAGCATCCTGTTAAAGATGTGCCTTGTTGGGTTTGGGGGGTCATTTGAGTTCTTGAGATGACTTGGCCACAATGGATCACACTGAATGGTCCCTAGTGACTCCTCTCTGCCTGTCTGTCACGGCAACAAAGCCTTTCCAAGGTTCTGAGGCCAAACTCAGCTATTTTTTAACATCATTCTGGAAGGGGAAAAAGGAAATCAGGTTTTCTGAGGTTCAGCAGAGGACATGGGCTTCAGGGAGAAGCAACCTGGCAGCTCCTGGAGTAAGGCAGGACACTGTGGGTTCATCATTCATAATCTCCTAAATGGTGACTTGGCAAGCAGGAAAAGGACGTTTTAGTATAAGCTTTACTGTCCTGCTTTTTGCACCACTCTTGAATAATAAATTGATACCACAAGTGCACCTTGGACCCACAGCCTGAAAATTAAACCCTTCTTCTCCCAATCTGGTTTGTTTGGTTTGGTGTTTTTTTTTTTTTTTTTTTTTTTTTTTTTTTTTTTTTTTTTAAAAAGAAAAAGGGGGCGGTAGGGGAAAGGGCAGATATTTGGGAGATAAACAAAAATTGAATTTTCCAATCTGCAGTTATTTCAGGGAATGAGCACTTTCTGCTTGAGATGTGACTTTCTCTGAACAAACCTCAAACCTGAGAAAATTTCACCAAATGAAACATGTCAGACCCATTTTCTTAACTTCTGCACAGATCCAGGATGTGTGGCCACCTCAGCCCTGCCCCTTCCTGCAGGGAAGGACACAAAAAACATGGCCCAGGATCAATAATCCATGTGTTTCCCTTCCTATCACCAGTCCCAGTAGCACTTTGCATTTTGATTTCCAATGACCCACAGGCTGGATATGTCCAAGACTGGCTGGAGGTTGAGAGCTTACCACTGTCCTGAAATTTCTCCTGAAAGCCAAAGGCAGGGGCACATCTTGGAGCAGCAACAGACCTACAGCATCCCATCTCCAAGGAATGTCTGCATGCAGGGCGCTCACCCAGGGCTTGCCTCCTGGCAGCAGGACAGTCAAGGACCACTTCCAGATGGCTGATGGATGAGTGGGACACCCCAGTGCCAGAAGGCACAATATTGATGCAGCCAGACCCTGGCACAGAGCATCCTGGCTGCCTGTGTCCTTGCCAAAGCAGACTCTGGGTGCTCCAGGCCACTGTGCAGCCCAGGGAACCCAGTGGGTGCCACTGGGGAGAGCCAGGCTCTGGCTGCCAGGTGCTGTCCCGAGGCTGCAGATGATCCAGTTCCATGCTGCCAAAGGATCCCTGGGTCTGCCAGGTCCCTGGGTGGGCTGATGCCCCACAGCACCACTGACAGTGGCACATTCCCTTCAGGAGGACTCATCACCACTCACCAGGACAGGGACATGTGTGTGCCAGGGCAGGGTTGAAGGGTGCCCAAAGGGAATCAGTGGGGATCCTCTCCTGGTTGCCTGTGCCCTGCAGGTCCCAGGTCCCATCCTGTGACAGCAATCCCCCTACCATGCACTGCTATACCTCTGCACCCACCATGCCAGCCCATTTCATCATCTCCAGCTGCAGGTTGATCTCTCTGCAGGGCTGGACCCAAACTCATGCATTTTTCCCAGGAAATCTTGTGCACATCCCTTGCAGGGCACCTGGCTGTTCAGGCAGGGGCATCCCCCTTTCCTGGGGTGGCAGACCTGGCCAAGCACCACAGCATCTCATTACAGTGGAAAGGGACGGGGCCGGTGTTTCCCCACAGCCTGGTTATGGTTTCTGGCTCATCAGACACTGATGGAGGGAAGCAGCTTCTCACTGGTCCCCAGGGACATCTCCCCAAGAAATGGGAAGCCACAGTGAAGGTCAAAAAGGTGTGGGCAGCTAAGCCTAAGCATCCTCACCTTGCCTTGAAGCCATGGCATTGCTTGGCCACATCCTCATCCGTGGAGAGGAGGAGAGGGGAGAAAGTGAAGGCACTGGAAAGACTAGCATGATACCTTTCCCCAGATGCCTCAAAACACAGAATCCCAAATGCAGGGCTTTCCTCTCTGCAAGACCACTGAGATTCCAGAAGCAGTTTTACCTCTTTCCTCTTCATCTTGCCATTGGTCACGCTCTCCTGTCTCCAGGAATCTCCACTGTGAGCACTGCACCAGGCACAGGAGGGAGCTGCCAGTGCACAGTAGCTCTTCCATCCCCAGAACAAGCATCTTTGGGACACGCCAGACACAGGGCAGTTTTTGATTCCCCTCAGCATCCCAGTCCTGACCTTCCCTGCCTACAGTTCAGTGCTCCTGGAGAGGAGGCAATGGGATGGCATGACAGTGGCTGGCAGGTAGGCTCAGGCACCCTGCTCCCATGACACATTGCACACCAGGGCCACATACGTCCCTGAGCCACCAGGAGCAGCTTCTGACAGTGGAGCAGCAGTCCCAGGGCAGATGTAATGTGTATTTGACAGAGCAAAGCAAAACACACGGACGGCAGGAGGATATGAGGCAAGCTGCACCAAAAGCTCCACTTTTGGGAAGGGGGTTTCCAGGGGAGCCGACGAGGGTGGGATTCGAACCCACGCGTGCAGAGCACAATGGATTAGCAGTCCATCGCCTTAACCACTCGGCCACCTCGTCCCTTTAGTCACCCTTCTGTTTTACCAAAATTTGTTTCAGCAGATTCGTTTTGTTCTTCCCTCCCCCGCCCCCCAGACAGTAATACTGGAGCTTGCAGCAGCAGCTGGCCTCGAAGGGGAAAAACGATTTTCCCTTTGGGACGTCCCTGCTAGCTGTGTCCAGCAGCACTGGGGCACTCTCCCGATCCCTGCTATGGTCAGGACGGCGCCTAAGGTTTTCGACTTGAGGGACGGGGTCCACAACGAGATGGCTGCTGCCCTACAGGAGGAAAGGAGACGGACGCCAGCTGCAGCACAATCCGCATTTATTAGGTCCAGGGAAACTGAAAGCTGAAGACCGCGGACTGGGGTCTGACACTAAAAGAGGGGAGGATACAGAGGTGGGGTCTGGTCTTCAACCAATCCACGGGAGGGTGGGAGTGAGGAGAGGGTGATGGACACAGTGGAACAATCCATAGGGAAAAAAGCCTAGGGAGGGGCCCTGG